GTGTGTGTGCGGTGGTTGAACTTGGGTGGCAGCTGAACACCATTCACCATTCGCTCACTCCCCTCTCAGCTGAATGGGAGAGAGAATTGGAAAAAAAGTAAAATTTGTGAGCTGAAATAAAGACAATTTGACAGGACAGAAAAGGAAGGGAAATAATGATGATGATTAATAACAATAATAATAGAATATACAAAACGAGTGATGCACAATGCGATTACTCCCCACCCAACCAAAGCCCAGCCCATTCCTGAGTAGAGGCCCCGTTCAGCCTTCCTCCCAGTTTATCTACCAAGCACGACACCCTGTGGCATGGGACATCCCACGGGTCAGTGGGGGTCAGCTGTCCTGGCCGTGTCCCCTCCCAGCTTCTGGTGCCCCCCAGACTGCTCACTGATGGGGTGGGGTGAGGAGCTGAGAAGGCCACGGCTCGGTGTAATCCCTTCTCAGCAACAACTAAAACATCAGCCTATTATCAACATTATTCTCATCCTAAATCCAAACCACAGCGCTGAAGCGTCTACTAGGAAAAAAAATCAACTCTGTCCCAGCTGAGACCAGGACAGTGTAAAAGCACAAAGCAGCAGGAGGACAAGGGTTAAAGAGAGGTGTGTGCTGACTGCTGCAGGGCTTTTATGTGTGCTTTCATGCAAATGAAGAGGAGGAATTTAATTGGCTGATGATAAGTGTCGGAAAGAAGCCAACAGAGCCACAAATACGACTGGAAGACAAGCGACAGAACTGATATTGAAGAGTTTTACCTAAGGCTGATGAGTTCTGAGATAAAATAATGGGGAGAAGATTTTCAAGCAGTATCCATTTCCAAAGGACATAAAAGTCAGGTCCAGGCTGGGTTTGCTGCTGGCGGTGGAAGATCCTGGAGTCATAGCTGAGGACTCCCAGCACTCCTGCCAGGGCTGCTGGGTGCTGCTGGGTGCCAGCAGGTGAGCTGACATTACTTACACCTTGTAAAAAATATCACCTTCCCCTTCTACGATATCTCATGTTGAGAGTTGGGTTGATTTTTTTTGCAGTTTGCTGTGCTCTCCTCTCTTCGGTGCAGTGTTTCTGTTGCTGATCCTTCCTGGTAGCGGTGAGCCGAGCCCGAGCAGGTGCAGGACCTGGAGGACTGTTGCGTTCCCATCCTGGCTTTGACAGGCTGCTGGGCAACCAGCTCCTCTTTCCTCTAGGCCCTCTATTTCATCCTGATATTACCTTTTCCAGGGAAAGATCTGATTATCCACCAGGATTTCTGAGTGAGACAATGTCAGCCGGGGAACAGCTTTAAGAGCTGATCTTGCAGCTCTCACTGATTAGTGTTGCTCCTGGCTCGCCATGTCCAACCACCTTTTCCCTGTGGACCTTTGCAGGACCTTTCACCACAATGTTCATTAACAAGAAGCACTTCATTACTGCCATCCTTGGGGCACTGGTTACAATCTCCATCATCGCCCTTGTTCTCAGCCTGGTGAAGATTGAAGATGTCACCCTGCCACCCGCAGTCAAGGTGAGCCCAAAAGAAGGTCCATGAATACCTCTGCAGAGACCAGTCACCTCAGCAGAGTCAACAGCTTATCTTTGGAGTTAGGAGGCGAAGGAGAGTTAGTAGGACCTACTTTGTAATAGCTGGATGGATGTTTTCTTCCCAAAATACATTCAGGGGGTCCCTCAATGTTAAGGAGCAGAAGCCATCTCTGAACCTAGCAGCGATGACATGCGGGTGATGTGTTTTGAGGAGATTATCTCAGGGCAGATGGGGAGGGCAAAGCCCCTCCCAGGGCACCGAAGCTCTCCGTGGCTTTTGCTCCTGCCAGCTCCCTCCAGCCTGTCCTAACCTACTCACGCGACAGCGCAAGTGTCACAGCTCCTCCCTGTCCCTCTCCTGTAGCTTGGTATCCCACCCTGGCTGCTGGAAGAGGGTTGGGATGGTTTTAGGGTGAGGTGGAGGGCTTTGCGGGGGAGAAGCACAAGGTTGAGTGCTCCTGGACTGGGGCTGGTGTGGCCCTGCCAGCCCGTGCCCAGGCTGGTGGCAGCCATGGGGGTAGCAGAGAGCACTGGAGGTGGTGGGAGAGTTTCTGGCCCCAAGGTGGAGTCAGTGTAGACACAAAAGGTGTGTAACCGAGAAAGAAAACAAAAAAGCATGAGGAAACGCCGAAGAAAATGTTTGTGTGAGCTGGCATTGCTGTACAGACATCAGGAGAGGGAATGAAATTGTCCCTCCATTGCCTTAAGAAATGCCCACGATGAGGCCACCGCTCTGCTGTGCCACGGTGCAGAGCTGTGCCTCAGAGAGATGGATGCATCCTCTGGGGCATCCTCTGGCCCCACCAACCTGGCAGGACCATGGTGGGGCCAGGGCCAGGCTGCTGCTCCTCCTGCCAGTGTTCCAGTATGGGATGGTGTTTGATGCAGGCTCGTCCCACACCTCCCTGTTTGTCTACGAGTGGGATTCGGACAAGGAGAACGACACCGGTGTGGTCAGCCAGACCTTGTCCTGTGACGTACAGGGTGAGTATCCCCCTGCCACGGGTTCAGTGCTGCCCTATGTGTTTGTGTGGTGGGTGGGATGACCTTCCTCTTGCTGGCCTGCCCACGTTGGGCATCTCCATCCATCAGACTGGTGCTGCTGGCACCGTGGTGAGCCCTGACTCCCTGCTGGCTTCTTTCATGCTTGGAGGGTCCTCATCACCAAATAGTGCCCTTGTCCTTGGTGGGACTGAAGCATCTTGGTGTTGCTCTGGATTTTCATTCCTCCACCTTGGACTGCCCCAGCTGCCCAGGCTGCTGTCTTGGCTGGGGAAGGTCTCACCCACTGAGCTGGGGACACCGCTGAAAGGATGGGACACACGGGGAAGCCATAGGAGAGGAACATAAGCATGGGTCAGTCAGGTCTTGGGGGGCCAAGGGATCCTGGAAAAATACCTTTTGTGGCTAAGAGGTGACAGACCTCAGTGCCCTGTGCCCACTTACTCCCACATCCCTACTCCCAGCCATTCCCCTCAGCCTGTCCCAACCCAACTCTCTTCCAGGGCAAGGCATATCAAGCTATGCCAACGATCCCTCAAAAGCCGGTGATTCCCTCAGAGAGTGCCTGGATAAAGCCCTGAAGGTTGTTCCTGCTGCAAAACAGAGGGACGTCCCAGTTTATCTCGGAGCAACGGCAGGCATGAGACTACTGAGGTATGGCTGTGGGACGCAGGTGTGACGGGGCAGTGGCTGAGCTGAAGGCAGCCACTGCCAGGGCACAGCGTCCTGCCCAGGGCCAGGCTGCCTGGAGCTCCCAGCTCTCACTGCCATGAGCAAGCAACCGGTGAGCAGGGAGAAGAGAGCCCAGTGGGGACACATGCATGGCTGAGCTCTCCTGAGAGACCAGCCCTGGGGCAGAGAGGCTGCTCAGAGGTGTCTGTTGGTATCATTGGTCCTCCTGTCCCACGATGGTGCTGCATCCCCAGTTCCAAGCCAGAAATGCTTCTCAGAGCTCTTCATTTGCTCTTTGTTATTTCTTAAACACAAGGGAGTTGATGTGCTGTCTGTCCCGCTGGGTGGGTGCTGGTGGGTGAGTGGGGCACAGGCAGGAGGCAAGAAGGTGCTGCAGGACCTGCTGTTACCTTTCACCAGCCCATATCAGCTCTCTTCAAATGTCAGCCTTCATTTCATGGTTCTTGGTTTTACGGTTGCAGATATCTAACATTATTTCTCTGTCCTGGCAATCAGACCCCTTCCCTGGGAAGGAGCCGGGTCATAGCCTGAAGGTTCCTTGCTTCAGAGAGCAAGCACATGGCAGCAGCCCCTGGGTCTGAGGTCTGAAGCCAGGCTGGCACCTTCCTGAAAGTCCCGTTCGAGCTCAGCAACCAGCCCTGGCTCTGCTGCAGTTAGTGGTCGATGTTCAAACCTGGGTTTTGCAGCGCGATCCCCAGTGGCACTACAAAGTCACTTAGGTAGGAAAGGGTGGCCTGGCAAACCTCTGTGTGACTGGGATCGAGCTGCACTGGAGGGAGAAGGTTGCTGTTGCTCCGAGATTTGTGATGCCAAGTCGAGACAGCTGGGATTTACTCTGTACAAGCAGCTTTGACGAGTTACATAGCAGGAAACATCGTTTTGCATAAACTACTTGTTGCAAAAGCTGGAGTATGTGGAACTGGGACAAAAACCCCAGATGATTGTTTCCTTGAGTTTCCTCTGCAGTAGTGATGTAGCTGGATATGTGTCCTTCTCAGGGAACAGAACAGCTCAGCGGCAGATCAAGTCCTGGCTGAAGTTGCCAAAACCATGCAAGAGTACCCTGTGGCTTTCAAAGGGGCTCAAATCCTTACAGGAGAGGAGGAGGGGGCTTATGGCTGGATCACCATCAACTACCTGCTGGACTCCTTCACTAAGGTGGGAGAAAGGTGTAACACTCGCTCCTTCTTTACTAACATGGCTTTTCTGATTTTTCTGAAGCTGGCTTGGTGCAGAAGGAAAGGATGAACGGCTGTCAGGAATGAGCATGGGGAAGCAGCTGGTGCCTACAGCGAAAGAAGAGGGAGAAAGCAGGAACGGGGTGTCTGTGTTAAGAGCTAAGGGCACATCTCTGCACTGTGTGGACACAGGGTCTCTTGGGGACAGGGAGGCCGGCTGTGCAGCCCAGCAGGGACCGCTTGCTTCCAGGGTTTTGCTTTTTCTGTCTTTCCTTCTGCCCCAGAGCCTCTGCAGCCTGCTATTCAGGAAGGGCAATCCCTCCAAGCCAGGTCCCCACCAGTGCTCTGGTCTGGGGACCGGTGACTCAGAGTCACGTGAACCCACAGCACGTTGGCACATCTGGACCATCAGAGAGTTCAATTTCTGTTTTTTCTGGCTCTGATAAATGGCCAGGCTGGTTGGGCAGGAAAGGTGGTGGGGCCTCACGTACAGAAATAATTGCACTGAACACCCATTGATTTTAGTAACAAAACCCTATTGACTTCAATGTGATGAGAATTTTGCTCAGGGCAAGTAAGCCCAGCCTTGTACTAGTCTTCTTCCTCCCCTGTCTCGCCTTGGCAGTACTCCCCCAAAGCACACACGTGGGTTCGTCCAGAGGCAGCCAACATTTTGGGAGCGCTGGATCTTGGAGGAGCGTCCACTCAAATCAGCTTTATGCCCGAAGGTTCAGCGTTAAACTGGACTGAAGCCTCCAAGTTCACTCTGTACGGGTACAACTACGACATCTACACACACAGCTACCTCTGCTACGGGCAGAACGAGATGCTGAAGCGACTGGCAAAGGAATTAATTGTGGTGAGAGGGGAACCGGGAGGTAGTTGGACTCTGATCTCATGACCCCAACCATAGACCTGTTAAAGCAAAAGAGAAGAACGGGCAGTGGTCTTCCAGGGAGGCATCAGCAGGGACTGAGAGCAGGTACAGACTCCTTGGAGCACGGGTAGGCAGATGTGGAGAGGAGCATGGGAAGTGTGAGAAGGGGTGGCTCAGGAGAGACCTTCTGGCTGTACACAGCTGCATGGCACAGGGTGTAGAAAAGGCTCTTCTTGGACGTGCAAAGTGACAGGACAAGAGGCAACAGGCATAGGCTGGAACATGCAAGTTTCCAACCAGGGGCAGGAGCAAAGTTTTTCCCATTAAGAATGGTCAAATATCAGAATTGGACCCAGAAATGCTGTGGAGTTGTCATTCTTGGAGATATTCAGACCTTAACAGGCTGCTCTGAGTGACTCAATATATTTAGTCTTGCTCTAAGGAGGGCATTGGAACAGGGACCCTGTAGCCCCCCCCCAAATCCCAAATACTCTGTGACTGCACAGACCTGAGAAAAGGGAACTGCAGATCTTTCCTGGGCCATTTTTTGAAAGGTCAGAGGGGAATAAGGTCTTCATGGAGCTGCACCTTGCCAGGAGAAGCAGCCTTGCTGAGGCAGAAGGGTTTGCTCACACTGCAGAGCCAGGAAGGTCTCAGGTAGTGTCCCCAGCTGGGGCTGGAGCTAGAGACTGAGCTAGACTAGAGCTCATGATCCTCCTGGCCAGGAGAGGGACATGCTGGGTCCCTGAACCTGTTCTGCCTTCGTGGGAGAGGGAAAGA